TGAAGAAAAACCTGCCCCGGCAGGTCGTCTGGGCCCCAGAGTGTGAACAGGCATTCAATCAGCTGAAGACGGCTCTGACCAATGCCCCTGTACTGGCAGCTCCCGATCCAACTAAACGTTTTCTTGTTCACACAGACGCCTCAATGTTTGGATTGGGAGCAGTACTGAGCCAGGTCGGAGCCGATGTCGGAGAACACCCCGTAGCGTACTTGAGTCGGAAATTGTTACCCCGAGAGGTGAGCTACGCCGCCATAGAAAAAGAATGCCTGGCCGTGGTGTGGGCCCTGAAAAAGTTACAGCCATATCTCTATGGGCAACCCTTTTCTTTGCTCACAGATCACAACCCATTGGTGTGGCTAAACCGTGTGGCTGGAGACAATGCCAGGCTGCTGCGCTGGAGTTTAGCGCTGCAGCCCTTTGACTTTACAATTCACTACCGCCCAGGGAAACAAAACGGTAATGCCGACGGGTTGTCCCGACAAACAGACCTTGAGAAATGATCTGTGAGCACTCCTCCGGACATCCCCAAGCCGATCCGTTGGGATCAGACTGTGTATGCCGGCTTGGTTCTGGGGGAGCATTGTGGCAAACCTAGCCACTTGGACAATAACTAGAGACTGTGCCTTTAAGGGTTGCCAATAGGTCGGGCGAGATATGCGCTTTATACTTATGTATATGTTAATGTATTTTCTGTGTTACCTGTACTGCTGTTTCCGCCGAATGCAAATGGCGGTTTTGTATGGGGATTCTCTTTCGTTTCACGAACGGCACTTTAGAAAGCCGTTCGTGAACCGAACGCGATACCCCCTAATAGCCCACACACTTAGAGGCGTGTGGCGCTTGTTAACCGATTGCAACATTGTTGCAATCGGTTATTAGAGGCTCTCCTGGGTGGCCGTCGTTCGACTACCGACCATGCGGCGGTCGGCCATCTTGGATCCCTTGTTCTTCAGCGGGGCCGTGTCGTCGAACGCATAGCATTACCAATAGTTATTCGACGGCACGAACACCGCTGAGCCTCCAGGACGTTCGGCAGTTTCAGGACCAGGTTCACTAAAAGCAATCGGTTCTTTTCGTGTGTTTTGAAAGAAATGTGTTTTCTGTGCGGCGTTCGGTTATTTTAGCTGGGATCTGAGCGGCAATCTCACGAATGATGCGCCCAGACCCCAGCTATCTACCGAACGTCCATTCGTGTAAATCCACCGTGTATTATAACAGTTGTAGATTTTTGTGTGAATTGCCGGTTCTGCTGCACGAGGGGATAATCCCTTTAACGGTGCATTCTGGGAGGATGATCCCTCTCGTGCAGCAGTGCCTGATGGGAGAAATATGTTATACTGTAAGTCCCCCATGTAGTCCCCTCTGGGAGTGCCCCTGGGGAGGGACTCAGGAAACCCCTTGCATGGGGACTTGTATAAATTGTCGTGCCGATTAAAGGATTGTGAGTTGACTCCCAAAACTGTGTCTCGTCCGGTTATTGGGAGGTTGGGGATATTGCCTTGGTGTTTTCAGCGCTTGACTGTGGATTCGTTTCTGGACCAGCGGAATTCGTGGATTTTATATTGGCGTTCCGCTACAGAGAGAGAGAGACCGACTGCTGAGTACACACAAACAGACTGCTGAATACATACACAGACTGCTGAGTACATACACACCTACTGCTGAATACACACACAGACATTTGTAAAAACATGCACACACATACTGCTGAATTCACAAACACAAAGATTGCTGAATACACACAAACAAACTGCTAACTACACACAGACTGCTGCTGAATACACATACAGACATACACAGACTGCTGAATACATACACATACAGACTGCTGAGTATACACACACAGACTGCTGAATACACACAAAGACACACTCAGACTGCTGAATTCAGACAGACTGCTGACTATATATATATATATATCTATATAACATACAGGGTTTCCTTGCACTCACGCTTGTAGACAGTTGTAAGCCGGGTGCTTGTAATCCAGGGAAAAATTGCATATGGTGAAGTAGTGATCAGCACTCTCGGACTTTTGTTGAGTTTAAAACTTACAGTTTATTGAAATTCCATTTAAAAGATCAACGTTTCAGTTCCTATCTGGAACTTTCATCAGGATCAAACATATAAAACAATGCAAAACATTACATTTATATACCTCAAGTATTAGTGAAATTAAATCAATAATGACTTACCCCTGTGCTCAGAGTGATGGGTGTGTTCCCCTGGCGTCCACCATACCTCCGTGCGCATGCGCGGACGTGGCCCCGCCCCTACGTGTGCGTGATGATGTCACGCGTTGCCGCGGCAACGCTAGAGTCACATGGGAAGAAGCAGGAAGTGACTAATAGTGAATAGCATGTGTCTCCGGTTGCTATGGCAACCCAGCAATGTAACTACAAAGTAATACATTGAATTAACATTCACAAGTACTAGTCCAATCATCCTGGTACTAGAACAAAATGAAAAAAAAAATGAAAGGTTTATGAAAATATGCAATGATACTGATGTGTATAAAAAGTGCTAAGGAAGCTATATATATTTATATAGATATTAGTTAGAACCCTAGGAATATTACCATAAACCAGGTGAACAAGGACCATCTCAGACCGCAATGAATATTGATACATCAAATCAACAAATGAAAAAATTTAAACCAAAATCGAATTTTGACACACAGAATCATAAAGCTTCAATTAAGACCTATCTCTCCACAGTGGAACGACTTTCACAGGAGGTTATCCGCAATCATAAAGTACTCAGGAGAAATGTTTCTATTTCACAGATGAAAATCATCAAAAATTTGTCAGAGGACCCCACGATTGCTATTAGATCTGCTGATAAAGGGGGAGGCATTGTAATCATGGATTACAAGGATTATGCTGGGGAAATCAGACGGCAATTACAAGATGCTACAGTATACTTACATTTACAGGGTGATCCGACTAAGAAAATAGCAACAATTATAGAGAATACTCTTTTTTTGGGACTGGAAGCAGGATATATAGATCTTCAACTCTTTAACTACCTATTGAAAAAGAATCCAAAGACTCCAATTCTTTACACTATACCAAAGATACACAAGAATCCCATTAAGCCTCCAGGGAGACCGATAGTATCAGCAATAGGAGGGATCTTAGAACCAATTGCGAAATGGCTGGATTCTTTATTCCAAGCACCCATAGCAGAGATACAGACTTGCATCAAGGATACACCGACTTTGATAAGGAAATTGGACTCATTAGACTTTGGCGAGGAACCCATCATTCTAATCACCATGGATGTGAGTAATCTATATACAATTATTCCACACCAGGAGGGGATAGAAGCCATGAGACAAATTTTATGCATGGCCACTTCATATGTGGGACCTCCAATCGAATTTGTCTTGGAATTATTGTCATTAACTCTCCAACAAAATTATTTCAGATTTGAAGATGACTGGTTCCTACAAGTAGCGGGCACCTCTATGGGGGCAGCGATGGCCCCAATGTATGCCAATTCCTATATGCATATTTATGAGAAAGAACACATCTTTTCCAAATTTAATCATCTTATCACTGCGTATTTTCGTTACATCGACGATTTGTTGATCCTTTGGAAGGGCACTGAATTGGAAGCACAGCAAATGGTTCACTATCTGAATGAACTTAACACTCCAGTCAGGTTCACGTCCAATATTA